CGCCCCCCGCCTTGCTCTGATCCATGCGGTTTGGCTTCGGCAGGGCTGGGCTGCTGAGATCTTCTCGGTGGCCACGAGCAGCAGCCGGAGCTGAGGCATCCAGGGACATGGTGTGGCAGGATGCAGCAGCCTGGGTCTGCAGGCAGAGCGCGAAGCAGGAACAGCAAACAGCACAAGGAAGGGAAGAAGAGATGCCCTTGTGTTCTGGGCACATGGAGAAGGCAAGGGGCTGGATTTGATGGCATAGAAGGCTCTTTCCAGTGCCTTTTATCTTTGCTGCTTCCTTTCCTTTCTACAGAGAATCTTCACCAACGTCACCAAACACAGCCACAGAGGCTTCAGAGGAAGGGAAGGTCTCACCACTATGGGTGAATTGGGGAATCCTAGACAGGCTACGCAGAGAAGAAAAGAAAGGGGAAGAGAAAAAAATGCCCCTTGGGTTTGGGAATCCAGGGTCAGCAGCCACCCCATGCCCACCCTCAGGTGATGGCTTTGCTCTGGCTCGCTCAGTGCTCCACTAGCAGAAAACTCCAAAGGCTGGTCTCCTAAACCAGCTCACCAAAGAAGCCCTAGCCTGTAGGTACACGTCTCTCTGGGCACATACAAAGGCAAGGAGGGGTCCAAACACACAGAGAGATCAAAGAAGGAAATTTAAGTAAAAAAAAAAAAAAAAAAAAAGGCAGCAAAAGAATCTATTTGGCAAACAACCAACCTGTTGAATTCTAGTCTCAGATGATGTTGATCCATGAACCAGCCAGCTGTGATTCCCAGCACAAGGAAAACACAATGGGGATTTGTAGTCATCTGGCAATCTGCCACCTTGTTCCTTTCCACATGTGAAGGAAGATGTCTTTCTTGGCCCTAACAAGGACAAGCTCATGAGCGTGGGCAAAAGCAGCTCCTTAAACTTCTACCCAGTCGGGACCATAACCACTGTTTCCTTACACCTCACCTGTAGCAGGATCCCTGAAACTTCCCCATGATGCAATAAGCTGCAAAAATTTAATGTCATGTCCTGAAGGGATTACTCCACCTTAGCAATATCTTTTACTTCTGCTTCAAAGGACAGTAGCTGTACTTGTGGTATTGAAGACCATCTTTTCTATACCTCCCCTCCTGCTAAAGCTTGGGAATAAAAGGCAGCTGGAACTACAGAGCCCAAAGGACACTGTGAGGGCAGGGTGAAAGCAATGAAATCGTGATGGAGGAAGGACACTGGGGAACCGCTGGGGAAAATGGCAGTTGGTGGTGGTAGAATTCCATGTCAAATAGAGCCCGCTGCATGGGACACAGGGTAGAAGTCCCGCAGGACCCAGCTGTAGATGCTCTTCTGTAGTGCCAGCTGGAACAGGTGGGGATTGCAAAAAAGATCTTCCTAGGAATTTTTCTGTCCCATGATGAGACCGTCATCAGATATGATGGTCGGGAACAAAAAGGGACAGACAGCATCCAAATAACCAGCCCCTTGTAGAGGACTGTTATTTTAGGAAGCAATTACTCTCTTTGCCACACACCCCTGGCTCCAGCACTCCTCTGAAAAGCAGGTGTGAAATCAGAGTGCCCTGCTAGTGCCAGACCTGTGCCACTGCACAGCACCATGGCTGTCAGGGCCAGACAGCCCAGTTTGGTTTCCTTGTGCTTGATTTCTGCTTCTTAGAAATTCAACACACAAGGTAAGAAACTATGTATTATCAATAAATGCTCTGCACACAGTTTAACTTTAATAAAGACACATTAACGTTTTCACTTAGAAACAGAGGAAAACAAGCTCTTTGATGACCAGACTGAATCACCACCTAATCAGAACATCACTCTTGAACCGTGTGCCCATCATGTGTGCCCAAAGGCTAGCTAGCACCTTCCTACACAGCCCCACCAAAGTACAGGCAATATCCCATCTCTTTCCTGCAGCAAAGGAGACAGGGAGGCATCTTCTCAGTAGAGTGAGCACACAAGCAACTTGGCAATTCATACATCAAGGAAAAGCTCTGTTTCTCCCTCCTCACCTGCCCTCGCTGATACATGGAGTCCCACCTGACTCAGATGCTGAAAAATGTATTTCAAGAAGTCATGATCACTCTCATGAGTCATGAGAGAAGGGGAGGAAATGACTCCAGGAGAGATGATTCAACTAAGAGGAAGAGTTGAGAGAGAGAAGAAAACACAGGCTGGAGAGTAGAAGAAGCTGTGAGAGCCCCACTGCTTCAAAGGAGCTTAGCACAACATGGAAAAAATTCAGATCAAATTTCTCCTCCTCCCATCAACTTCCCCATTTCCAGATTTTGTTGTCGGTACCACCAATCCAAAGTGTCAAGAATTTACATGCAAGCTGGATGCAAGAGACTGCTCCATCCGGCGACTGTGCTCTGAAGGAGTCCTCTTGAAAGGAGTAATTCAGATCAACGGATCATTGCTTCCACTACAATAAAACAGCACCAAGTGCGCGTTATCTAACCAGCACTGCCAGAATCACTCCCCTGGGTCAGGTCCAGCATCAGGTAAGCCCTTAACAGCACACCAACCAGTCCTGCCCAAAAAACCCAACAAAAAGGAAGTCAAATTGGAAGATGAACAAGGTTATTTGTATCACAGGCACAGTCCTACCCTTGACCTAGCACCAGAAGATGCACAAACTCTCTATGTCTGTCTGAGCGTCATGGTTTAACCCTGGCCAGCAACTAAGCCCCACGCAGCTGCTCACTCACTCCCCCTCAGTGGGATGGGTGAAGAGAGAATCAGAAGAGTAAAAGTGAGAAAACTCGTGGGTTGAGATAAAGACAATTTAATAGGTAAAGCAAAAGCCACGCAAGCAAAGCAAAATGAGGAATTCATTCACTGCTTCCCGTGGGTAGGCAGGTGTTCAGCTGTCTTCAGGAAAGCAGGGCTCCATCACGTAGTGGTTACTTGGGAAGACAAACGCCATCACTCCAAACATCCCCCCGCTCCCTTCTTCTTCCCTCAGCTGTCTATGCTGAGCATGACATCATATGGTATGGAATATCCCTTGGGTCAGTTGGGGTCAGCTGTCCCGGCGGTGTTCCCTTCTGACTCCTTGTGCACCCCCGGTCCACTCACTGGTGGGGTGGGGTGAGAAGCAGAAAAGGCCTTGACTCTGGGTAAGCCCTGCTCAGCAGTACCTAAAACATCCCTGTGTTATCAACACTGTTTTCAGCACAAACTCAAAACACAGCTCCATACTAGCTACTGTGAAGAAAATTAACTCTACCCCAGCCAAAACCAGCACAGCGAGTCAGAGCAAAGGGTAAGGAAAAAACACAGCAACCAATCAGCTGAAATTCAAAGGGCACAGTGGAAACCACCCAGGATGGTCTTGCTGTGTAACTCAGTGCTGTTACCCTGCCCATCCCACAGGAGCCACACATTGTCCAGGCGCATATCGTGTTTGCAACTAACTTCAGTCACCTGTGTCTTCCTCCAGCATCTATAGGTGGTGCACATCTCTGGAATGTTTAATAGATGATATATGCTCAAGTACGCACACAAACTATACAAACACAGGAATGAAAGCTCACATTAAGAAACGAACTGGTCTCCCTGGTCTTCACTTCCACAAACTCAAATGCAGTGCTGACAATGCCCACCTACTTAGTCCCACTTCAGCTCCTTCCATTCAAACTAAAACACTTTGTTTGAGTCCCAAATAGGACTAATCTTTACCTCCCAAAGTCAAGAACTAAATACACAACAATTTTCTTCACCCAAATCCCTACAGTTACCATCTTTGTCAGTCACTGTGGACAACCCCATATCATCCTGACACTTAGGCCAGCCTTGGACCACCCTTGACTCAGATCCTATCAGGTCCTGAGACTCCCCTGGCCTACATGGTGTCTTGTGATGTACCTGTGTCTTCCGTGTACCTTCTCTGAGCTACTTCTTATTCAGCCATGGAGATAGGTCACTTCCAAACTCTCACTGCTTTACTTACACCTCAATTATTGCAACAGCCCTTCCTTCACCATGGCACTTTCTCCTGCGCTCCCATTCCTGCCTATGAGGTTGAAGGGTGACCAAGTCTCTTTGGCTACAGTCCCTACGCTGACACAACAGCTATGCTACCTGCTTCAGCCCTTCCCTTTGTCTGTCGCCCTGCAGAAGCCCTTCCAGTTAATCAAGCTGCAAGCCATATCCAGTTTGCCATACTGCCAGATGTCCATTGCACAACCTCATGCTGCTCACTGCAATTGGGTATTTGAGAAGACACTACAGCTCTTGGGAGTGAAGCTCTCGCATGGCTCCCATACGCCTCTGCAGCAGAGGGGATATCTCCATCCCTCCAGGAAGGCAATTATTTGTCTCTTCCCTGGTAGCAGACAACACTGTAGCAGAGTACGGCCCTGCTGCCGCCTCCTTATAGCCACCGCCGGGTTTTACCGAGCCAGCACCATAAGCAGGTCACCTTGCTCCACTACAGATAAAATTAATTCATTTTAAAAGGAGTGTTACAAAATAGGATGATAGATTGGAAATGTATGCAGGTACTCATGAGGGCAACTCACACACGCAGTCAATCACAGGATTCAAGTACCAGGCGCCGACACAAACATTTCAGTGCATTCTCTCCTGAACAGGTAAAACCCCACTTGTCTGAAGCACTTCCATGAGCTATTGCAGGGGCATCGCAGTACCTTTGCTCCTGCTCACCACACTCTCAGTTAAACGACTGGGTCAAATTTGCTGCCAGGCTTTTGCTCTTACTTGTAATCTTGTGTCAGCACCTTCAGATGTTCACATGATGGTGGGAGGAGATAAAAAGCAAGAAGATGCCTATGGTAGATCCTCACATGATACGTCCTCACCTCACACCCCAGATGTACTCCATATGAATCTGTGCAACTGCAGGATGCGGCTCCCAGAAAAGGCCACACAATCACAGAAATTACTTTGAAGCTGAGACCATAATGTTACGACAGCATCAGCCCTCTTCTTTAAACTGAACATATCCGTCAAAGGATTGGCACACCGGCCCATCACCTTACCTTTAAAGCACGGACTTTCTTGGCCAAGAGGCTCTCAATGTCCCCTGCGACCTTCTCCACTAATTTCCTGGGCACATTCTCCTTGACTTCAAACAGGTTTCTATTCTCATTGTAGATCTGAGAAGAGAAACAAGAGAAAGACAGACAGTCAATATTAGAGAGAAGTACAGCAGTCTTCCCTCAGAAAAGCTGATCCTCTAACACAGAAGCATTTTAGCAATGTGGATTAAGTAACAATATAAGCTTTGGAAATGAGGGAAACAAGGGAAGCAAGGCTTTGCAACCAAGAAAAAAAAAAAAATGCATTCGACCTGCTGCCCACACCACTGGCTTTATAGCTGCCTGCCTTTATGCTTGCAGGCTATGAGCATCCCCCCTCTCGCTCAAAAGCCGAGCTGCCCACCACACTGCCCACCCCTCAGCCTCTGTTGAGCCAAACCAGCAGCACAGGCAGAGCCACCACGCTTCCTCCTGTGCTCTCCCTCACCCCTAAAGCCCACCAACTACTCACACGCCGCCTCCCCAAGACCACTCACTGAATTTTGCAAGCGCAGCTCCCTGTGCGCTGCCCACAGGGTTCCTTGGGTGCAGAGCCCGGCAGCACGGGTGCAGGCAGGGCAGCCCCGGGCAGAGGCAGCAGTGGGTACCAGGAACGGGAACAAGCCAAGAGGATCACGTGAAGTAGGATAAAACCTCATCTCTAAGCAAGCCACAGTAATGTGGCACCCTCAGGAAATCAGGATTTCTGCAACCGGTCCAGAATTCGGCCAGGCTGTGGTGGGGAGAGTTGCAGATCTATGCCGGGATTATCCTGAAGGCCAGATGCAATTACCTGGATTTGAATGTTTGCACCCAAAGTGTGCAGCTGTAACCCGTAGGTCCGCCCTTCCAAGCCACATCACACAACTGCAGAGGACAATGCCAGCCCCAAGACAAGTGCCGCTGGCATCAGCACTGCCCCAACAAGAAGGGCTCAGTCCCACCACAAGACTTTGCAAACACCAACCCCTCAGTCACCTCCTCAGATCGTTTTCTGACTTGTTAACTTGGCCCGTCTACAATCTCAGGTGCAACCAACGCAGGGTAAAAGAGAAGAGCTTTTTACAATCACCTGAGATTGGGGGGAGGCGTGGAATCCTCATGCCTTATCTTTTTAAAAGTAAGATACATGAAGAAAACCATGCAGCAAACAGGATTCTGCCTGTTTACAATCACCTGAGATTGGGGGGAGGCGCGGAATCCTCATGCCTTATCTTTTTAAAAGGAAGATACATGAAGAAAACCACGCAGCAAACAGGATTCTGCCTCTCTCTGAATCCTTGGGCTACTTGCAAATACCTGCATTGCCAGACATGAAGATGCCCGGCAGCAGAAAACCCTCCAAGGAGAGCTGGACCTCCCCAAGAAGGTAGCTGACTCCATGCTTAACTGTGATTTCCATGCTAAATGCCGTATTCCTACGGCAAATGTCATAGATGGCTTCATTGTCAACCATAAAGGCACAGTCGGAATGCTCCAGAGTGGTGTGGGTAGTCAGGATCGAGTTGTACGGCTCAACAACAGCTGTCGAGACCTGTGGTGCAGGGTAGATGGCAAATTCCAATTTTGATTTTTTCCCATAGTCAACAGACAGGCGCTCCATCAGCAGAGAAGTAAAACCTGAGCCAGTGCCTCCCCCAAAGCTGTGGAAAATCAGGAAACCCTGCAAGCCAGTGCATTGATCGGACAGCTTCCTGATACGCTCTAGAACTAGATCAATTATCTCTTTCCCAACTGTGTAATGACCTCGAGCGTAGTTATTTGCAGCATCTTCTTTACCAGATATCAGTTGTTCAGGATGAAAGTGTTGCTTGTATGTCCCATTCCTAACCTCATCTATTACTGCTGGTTCAAGGTCCACAAACACAGCACGAGGGACATGTTTTCCTGCACCGGTCTCACTGAAGAACGTGTTAAAGGAATCATCACCCCCACCGATGGTTTTATCACTTGGCATGGTACCGTTGGGCTGGATGCCATGCTCCAGGCAGTAGAGCACGTGTGGCACCTACCCGAGCTTGCATGATCCTTGGGAGCTGAATCATTACTTCCCATGGGACAAACCCCCCTCTTTGCTGGAGCTTCATCTGAGGTGAAATACTGCCTGTAACTGCCAGGTTGTTGCAGACCTGACCGTTACGACAAAGGAAGAGACCAGGTGGTACAGAAACCATTTCTCACGCAACATCTGCCTGCCTCTGCCCGAGGTCTCGGAGCACCACCCAAACACAAAGAGTAAACAACCAGCTTCCACAAGACAAACATGTCCCTCGCAAAGCCCCACGTTTTGCCCCGTGCTGGGAGCACAAAGGCAGGACTAAGGAGAGGCTTGGCTAGAGACATCCACCAGGCTGATACCACCACAACTGTTTTTCTTGGTCGAGCCAGAAAAAATAAACGTATGGGACAGGCAGGTGCCCAGGATGCGGACAGGAGCATATTACACAGCTCAGGAACAGGATGAGACCTTCCTCCTACGCTGGGAAACTACTTACTCCAGCCTTTTTCTTCTCCATTAATGAGCTGGAGCAGGAAGCGACTCCGCTTGTTGAAAGGCAGCTGGCAATGAATCCAAGAGCCTGAGCAGAGACCCCCTAACCACAGTCTCCCCTTTCCTTTTGAGGTTAAACAAAGCAGTTTCTGAGGTTGAAGCCAGAGGAGTACGCTCGGAGGCTAAGCAAAAGGCTGCTCTTTTGGCTTTGCACGGTCCCTCCAGACCTATGGGGTTAATCTTCAGGCTTCAACTGTGCTTTCTGCAGCTCTCGCTGGTGTCCCTGCTCTGCCCCAGCTCCTCCTTTCTTCCACGCCACTAGGAAATTCCCAACAGCACGCCTCTCCCAGCAGCCTTGTGTCCACATACACCACAACTCCATCCTAGCTCTGACTCCAGGCAACAGGTTTTCTCCCCCAAAAAGCCCCGAGGGATTCAGGTAACCTGCCCCTGCTGTCAGAATGGCAACCCACCCCGCCTCTATCAGTGGGGTGGCACACAAAAAGCTCAGTCCTCCTCATTTCTGAAGTTTCTGGAGAAAACAGCATTTCTGTGAATTTTCCCGGTTACTGGCCTGCAAGAGCACAGCCCATGAGCCAAGAGCAGAGGCGCAGCAAGCCACACATCTGCAATCCTTGCCTGACTCCTCGGTCTCCAAGAACCACATGGAGCATGGCTCCAGCTCCCTCCCCGAGGCTCTGCTCTTGCAGGCTCCAGACCTGCCAGGCTTCAAGGAAGGGTAACTCCAAGCATTAACCTGTCCCAACCCAATTCCAAGGGCTTCACCCAAATCATTCTAGTCCCCAAACCACCCATACTTCACACCAATTCGGCAACTCCTATCTTATTATAGGTGATGGTTATGCGAGCGCTGTGACTCCAAAGAGGATGCTTTAGTAAGAGCACACATTTTAGAGGCATCCTCAGACTCCAGCAGAAATGATTTCTAGGTGTTTTTCGCATCAGAGCTCCATCACACCCCAAGCTTCTGACCAAAAGGCATGTATTGCCAATAGCAAAACATCCTGTGATACAGAAAAACACCCCACATCAGCACAGAAAGGGTTAAAGTGAGGAAAGCTTGATACAAAGCAATATTCTCTCATACTTTTTTTCCCCTTTGGTAAGCAACAGCAAAACAACATAATGTGTTTGGAAGACGCACGCTACCTCCAGCTGAGCAGCGACAATTAGGAAAGCAAAGAGCAGCAATCTTCAAGGAGAAAGCGTTGGGTGAGGAGGGTGTCCTGACATTCGTATTTGCCTATTATGAAACAGAAAATTGGCTCCTATTGGTTACGGACAGAAATGGTGCCTGTCCACAAGGGAGGGAAAAAACAGAAAAAGAAACCAGGAGATGTTCCTCCAGCCCTTTCTGCAGCTGCAGAGCTCTGCAGTCTTCTTGGCTGAACAGTTCATTGGCATTAATTAGACAAATCCAACAGGAATGAACAGTGACCATACGTGCACGCAAACGTACCAGACAGGCAGGCGACCGAACGGTAGTGCTCCAGGCAATTAAGATAGCTTCACACTTCCCACTGTAGCATTTTGCTTTGGGTTGTTCAGAACTTGGCCAGGTTTTACTTATCTAAGGTGACATTTCCCATATTGGGTTTTTCCTTGAGCTGAATCAAAGGGAGGATTTTCTGGCCAAAGACATCCCAAACGTTCCTCAGTGACGGCAAAAGCCCTCAGTTTTGTCCAGATTACAAAGCCATTCTCATTGAAATTCTCCTGTGAGGCGGTACGCTGGGACCAGGGTTTGAATTTTGTAAGAGCAGTGACCTCGGAGTCAAGAAACCGCTGCTTCTGATTCCACGTAGGTATACTCACAGGCAGCCGTGCCGGCACCCTCAGGGAGAAGGGGGGGGTGCAGGCTGCATGCTTTTGGTAGATTGGGTTTTACTTTGCATTCCCTTCATGAACACACCCCATCCCCTCACAGTCCACATGTACCCCTGGACAGGCAGGGCGAGTGGCTGGCAATGCAGGAACACGAGAGCGAAGCCTAATCCTGCAATGCTCCAGCCATGCTGGAACAAGAAGTAACGCCTCTGCGTCAGCCCTGCTCAATGCGGTTGGCAAACTTGAAGTTACTGGACAGGCGAGGAGCCGCACAGAGTCCCCAGATTACCTACGGAGATACTAGCCCTCAGGCAGCACAGGAGGAAGCTGCTGTATTCAGGGGATGGGGATCAAGACCAAATTATAAACTGCAAACCTCAATAAAAAGTCTGGGAAGGGCTGAAGCTAGATGCAGGAGCCAGGAGATCCAGGCATGGCAGTGGAAAGAAGAGTCCAGCAGTGGATGCTGAGAGTGAATTGGTAAGTGGCAAAAGTGGGGGGGAAATATTAACACAAGCAAAACAACAGAAAGTACTGAGTTGACATAAATAAATAAACAAATAAGTGGTGGCAGGTGTGTGTGGGGGTCAAACAGCTCAAGACAACATACAACAAAACTTAATCCCAAATACTTCTAACCCACACAGAAGTACTAAGTAGCCTTACTAAAAAGCAGAGCTGGTAACGCAACTGATTGCCAACACACGTTCACAGCAGCAACTGTATAACCGAAGAGGCAGATCCGATACTGCCTCAGAATGTCTATTCTCCAAATTCACTTGTTTGCCTTGCACAACAAACAACGTTCATCTCTGCTATTAATTCCCTCTGTGCCTATATATCCAGGGAGCTGTCGGGGTTCAGAGAAAGCATTTGCCACTCCCCAACTCCACACGAGCGCACTCAGCACCATGAAACTGGGCAGCCCCAGAAAGAACAGAAAAAGGTGCAGAAATACCCCCACAAATGCAGAAATCACTGCTCTGTGAGCTGCCACAAGAGGACCCGGCACCTTCCCATGGGTCAAGGTACGCGATGATAAAACATGAGGGAAAATCACAAACTCGCGGGGGGTTCCCTGTATAGCACCATTAGCGCTCGTGTCTTTGGGCATCGCTAGAAAGTAAAAATTGTCTCATCAGCCTCAGCCTCGCTGTTTGCCGCGGACGCTGGCCTCCCCGGCGCAGCAGCAGGGCCAGGCTCCAGCCTGCTTGCCCAGGACAAGAGGGAGGACACTGACGGGAGGGCTGGGATGGTGGGGTACACATGTGATCCAAAACAGACCCCTTCTCCTTCCCTCTTCCCCCAGCTCCATTTCACATCCCCCAAGAAGCAGCCCATCCCCAAAATGGAGCTATCAAAGTGCCAGCACTCTGCTGTGCTTGCACAGCATCGTTTCCATGCCAAGACTCCCCCTCCACCCCACTTAAAAACAACCACCAAAAAAGCTGAACCCTAACATGGCAGCTGGTAACCCCAGCAGCTCTCAGCCCCACCGGGCCAGGTTACAGGCCATACCCACAGCTCAAACGTCAGCTGGGGTTTCCTTGGGGCCAAGTGCCTGCTTGAAGAGGCTGCGGTGCTCCAGCTCCTGCTGCAAAGGCATCTGGTCTGGGAAACAATCACCTTCCAGAATTCCGCCCTCCCCCACGTATGAATCCAATACACCTAGTTTGGACAGCTGCAGTCCAAACACCAGTGTTTAATCACAGTGCAAACCTGGCATGTTTGCAAAAGAGCAAAGTACTACGTGCAGCAACAAAGCGGGCTGCCTTCCTGCTCCCAGAGTATCACACCTCAAAGTAGAGGTGCTCCAGGTTAGGAAGGCCAAAGACCAAACTGAACCTCTACAGGCACGACAGCCACACACACCTGAGAGAATCCCTCGTGCCTCAGAGAGGGGACTGTGCCACCTCATGCCCTACAAAGGCCACGCACCAGGAAAAGACAAGTTTTTTCCCCACCTGGCATTATTATGGGGGGCAGGGAAGGTCTCAATTCAGGGGGATACTTCAAGTTCCCGCAGCCATGCTGATCAGCTTCGTACAGTGACCCAGATAAGGTCCCTGCAGAGGGAATTAGCTGGCACAACAGATACTGCAGCAGGATACCTGCCCTTAGAAGAGGCACTCGCTCAGATGCTTGTCTAGTGCTTCTCCTGGAGTTTCAGGGTCTGCTGGTCTCCACAGGCAAGCGGCCGTCTGCCCATTTTGAGTCTCATCTCACCTACGGCGGAGTCCTGCCACTTCCCCAGAGCTCAGGGTATCAGTGAAGAGGTACAGAAGGAACCCTTGAGTAGCCTTGCTTGTGCCTTGGCTACACAGAGCAGACCCCTCTGACGAAGAGAGAGCCTAGAGAAGAATTACCCAGTAACATAAATGACTGGCAAGAGCACTGTGAGATGGTCCAGGCCAAGCAAGGAGCACTGTGGCTGGGTAATGGGGAGGAAAAGGCAGGGCAAAACCCCAAAGATCCTGCTGGAAGATGGAGACTGCTGAGGGCTACAGGCAGAGAGCAGAGACAGCACAATTCCCATCTCACCCCTCGTCCCTGCTGCACCTACTGTTGTTAAATTTCATCGTCTGGTGCTTATAGTTCTTGCAATGATGGTAATCATCATGGTGTCTATATTACATCAGGAGGATGTCAGCCTTGGAGCAGCATCAGGG